TTCCCTGAATGCATGTTCTTGGAAAAGATTCATGTTAATTTTACTTATAGGCTTTTCAAAGATCTCTTGGAATTATACATGCACAACTGGTATCTGTTCATTTTTCTTTTACTCCTTTCCTTTGTAAGCTGCTCTTTCCCAGGTCATTAACTTCCTCTAAGGCACAAAGAACTTTAAACTTAATAAATTTATCTTTTTCTAGAGATGCGCCAATACATCAGTCCCATATCAGATTGGTGCTGATATAAGGAAAATTGACAATATCGGCAATCAGCATTTTTTGCCTGACGTGGCCCGTAACGTGGCTGGTAATTGGCCTCTACACGCGCGCAGCCAGAGTGCAGCACACAGGCAGCCAGGAGCGCAGCCCAGTGTGGAGGGCAGCTGGGGCTGGCTGGTAAGTCTGTTGTGAGGAAAGGGGCATGGGGGGGACAGATCGAGGCCCCTGCAGTGAGGGAGGGAGTAGAGCTGGGTCAGATGCAGGCGTTGCACAGCCAGGGCAGAGCAGGATGGAGCCATGAGTGGCTTGTCCAGGGGATGTGGGGTTGGGGGCAGCTCCTGCCACTGCACTCATCCCAGGAAGGCATGGGAGGCATGTGTTTCCAGATCTGCACATGGGGCAAGGGCGGGCTGAGGCAGGGGTCTTCCTGGTGGGGGCTAGGCTGGGGCTGTGCAGCAGCAGTGCTGGGAGGAGGGTTGGATGCAACCCCTGCCACAACCCTGTGCCAGTGCCACCACCCCCCATCAGTAAGACCCTGGCACTGCCCTGGCCCCAGCCTATAGCAGCAACCCACTCTCACCCTGCATGTAGATCTGGGGGCACACCTCCCATGCCCTCCCAGGCTGCATGCAGTGGTGGGAGCTGCCCCCCCCCCACACCCCTAAATGAACTGGTCGTGGCTGTGTCCCTCATGCATCTCCGGCTGCAAGCCCCAGCCCCACTCCCTCCCTCATTGCAGAGGCATTGGTTTTCCCCCCGGCCACACCCCTTCCCTCCCCCACAAAAGACTTACCAGCTGGATGCTGCTCTCTAAGCTGCCCAGCTGCATATTGGAATTGGATCAGTATCAGCTGATATGGCTCACTAAAAATCAGCCATCAGCCCCCAAAAGAGCTCAGTATTGGTTCACCCCTATCTTTTTCTCAAGAAACTGGTGTTCATTAATCATCAGGCCAGATCGTCTGCTGAAGCTAGAGTGCTAGCCAACACCAGCTGGATCTTGTCCACAATGCCAGAAGTAAATTGCCCCAAAATAACAAGGGAGAATTTAAAGTACTAGAAATAAATTGAACACGTCTAGGTACTAACAGTAATCCTGTGTTTACACTCAAAAGAGCACACTTATAGTAGAAGAAAATAGGAAATTAATCTATTTTAATGCAAGCAATAATTTACAAAGTTCCCACAAATCCACTAGCTGCTCATTCCTGCTACAGCACACACTGCTCTGGTACTGGTCCAGACAGGAAAAGGGAGAAGGTCAGATTGACTTTGAAAAATACAAACCATTTGTCATTTTATGGCAGGAAGCGTTTACAGTACATCAGTCAACAACGTTTTTGCCAGGACTGTTAAGCATCTTGTCAGCGCCTCCACCATGAGTGAAATTTAATACAAGATAGAGTAGAATGACCAAAAACAAGCAAAAACATATGGACTGATCTGGAAATAACAAGAATGTATTTCAATGATGAGGCAATTAAACCCATGTTTTTAGATAGCTAGATTAAGCAGCCTGACTTTCAGTGCGACTGAGCCCTATGGCTGCCATTGACCTCAGTGGGAGCTCAGCATCCAGCTGCCGATTTGAGTGCTGAACTCTAAACACCCAGTTCTAAAAACAGGGCACTTAAATTTTGGTTCTCACCCATCTAGCAACTGGGTTAACAGTGACGTATTCTAACCAAGAGACAAGCTGCTTGCTTGTCTGAGGGGTTGGACTTGTGGCATGATTACCCCAATATAATCAGTGCTGGTATTAGCATAAGCAAGCAGATGAATTTCAGCTCCTAGTTTAATCTAACTGCCTCCAACCTCAGACAGAGGTACTCTGGGAAAAAATCTCTAGTCAAAATACTTTGCTATTACTTACTGCCTTGTCACCTAATTACAAAGTGTTATCATAGCACCTACTGCAAGCACCTAATCCAGGACAGTTGTTAATCTGTACTTGAGATCCTAACTTACCTTGTCAGTGTACAAATCCAGTGTAAATTTAGAACAAAGTAGAAGAGTCATATGTTCAAGCCATTAAGACTAGCAAACCAGCTAGTTGTACCAGTGGCATCAATGGTACAAAGAGCCCTTAGCATATGTCTTGGGTGGTATACACTTGTACTGTCCCCCATGGCCAACGGCCCAGTGAGCCCTCAGGTAGCTTGGTGGGTCTAAGAAATATGCCTGTTCCCTCAGAGGCAGATTTAACTCAACCAACCTCCTGTTTGACAAGGTGTTTCCTTCTAAGGGCTATCCCAGAAGCAATCATTGCAGATGGGAAAATGGGTTTGAGTGGAACCATTGCCCATCTATAAAACCATCTGTACTACAATCCTTGCTGACAAGATTACTGGA